TTTTCTTCGCCTTCGATTACCTGTTGTTCCGATTCTGTTGAGGTCAGGAATGGTGATTGCTATTTAGCTGCCTGCTTACCTTTAGAGCTCGATTTCTCTGAGGCTAAGGGTTCTGGTATCGGCACCACTTCCTCGATTGCAAAAATCTCTTTTGCAGCATGGTGCTCCCCGTAGACTGTTTTCACTCCTTCCTCTGTCGGGAATTTCATCATCTGGTGGAGAGTAGAAGGCATTGCCCTCATGTTGTGTATCCATGGTCTCCCGAGGAGTGCGTTATACCTCATGTCACCTTCGATGACGTGAAACCTGGTGTCTTGTATGGTCCCGGCTACGTTTACTGGCAAGATAATCTCTCCTTTTGTTGTTTCGCTTGCCATGTTGAAGTCATTCAGCACCCGGGATGCGGGTACAATCTGATCTTGCAGGCCAAGTTGTTCCACGACCCTCGATCTGATTATGTTCGCTGAGCTACCTGGATCCACGAAAAGACATTCAACTTGAATTTTATTTAAAAGAATAGAGATTAGCAGGGAATCGTTGTGAGGTTGGTATATGTTTTCTGCTTCCTCATCGCAGAACGACAGGACGTCCTCGGGCACATAGCTCCGAGTCCACTTTTCTCTTGTGATCGATACTTTGGTGCACTTGAATATAGGACGTTGGGGGACATCGACTCCTCCAATGATCATGTGGATTACATGTTTTGGTTCTTCTTGCTCATTTTTCCTTGCATCTCTCTCCCTGAAGTGGTTCTTGGCACGATCACTTAGAAATTCTCGAAGGTGGCCCTCGTTGAACAATCGAGCCACATTTTCCGTTAGCTGCCGGCAATCTTTCGTTCTATGACCGTGCGTGCCATGATACTTGCACATCAAGTTCGGGTTTCTTTGAGAAGGATCAGTCTGTATGGGCCTCGGCCACTTGGTGTGTTTGATTTTTCCAATAGCCGACACGACCCCTGATGCATCCACGCTAAATTTGTACTCTGATAATCGGGGAGCCTCCGTGGGGTCGGTATGTTTATCGAACCCACTCTTACTCATGAGTCCCCGAGAACTTTGCCCTCGATCGTTTCTCCGATTGCTCCGAGAAATGTTATGGCTTGGGTCGCTATTCCTTCGGTTATGGCTGATACCTTTCCCTGTTTGATCTCAAATCCCTGTTCATGTCCCTCGAGGGCTTGGCACGAACCTGTTAGGATGTACTGAACCCTAGGAGGCTCCTAATTAGTCGTCCTCAACCCTGATTTTTAACTGGTAACGGTTGTGCACATCTGACCATGTCACAGCTGGATACTCGATCAAGTTCTGCTTTAGTTGTCGAGAAGCAATTGAGCTTCGCTCGTTCGAACCCTTCATGAAGGCCTATACCAGCCAGTCGTCAGAGACCGGTGGCAGTTCCATTCTTTCCATCTGAAACCTGGACACAAACTCCCTTAACATCTCGTAATTCCTTTGTTTTATTTTGAAGACATCCGATTTTCTCGTGGCCACCTTTATGGCTCCGGCGTGAGCTTTAACGAAAGCGTCCGCTAACATAGCAAATGAATCGATATAGTTAGGAGCTAAGTTGTGATACCAAATCATAGCTCCTTTTGAGAGTGTTTCCCCAAACTTTTTGAACAACACTGACTCGATTTCATCATCATTCAAGTCATTTCCTTCGATCCCACAAGTATATGAAGTAATACATTCGTTAAGGTCAGTTGTCCCGTTATATTTGGGTATATCGGGCATGCGGAATTTCTTAGGAATGGGCATCGGGGCTGCGCTCTGAGGGAATGATTTTTGTATGAACTTCTTGGCATCTAGACCTTTCAAAGCTGGAGGTGCCCCCGGTATCTGGTTTACACGGGAGTTATAAGTCTCCACCTTCTTGTCGTTATCCTCAATTTTCTTTTCTCCGGACTCGATCCTCTTAGTGAGCTCTTCGAGCATTTTCATAATGGTGGGGTCAGTCCCCGAGCTGTCTCCATTAGGTCCTTCCGGCGTTGGTTCAGCACGTCGATTATTTTCATGTTCAGCTACACTGGGGGTCTTATTCTGACTTTGAAGTTGAGCGATGGCGATTTGCTGAGCCTGCAACATCTCAAATATCACTTGGAGGCTAACTCATCCACCTTCTGCTCCTGGCGTTCCTTGATCCCCCGGTCGAGCATCCCTGCGTACACTCCCTTTGGGGATCTGTGCCTAGGTTGGTGTTTATAGCAATATGAGAACCAACATCAACTGGTTCCACATTTGGCACTTCCCCAGGGTTTGCCGGTGGCACACCGACCTCTACATTGTTATTCTCACCAAGACCTTCGTTGTCATAAATGGGTGCATTTGGTGATCTAGACATGTTTCAGCCTGAAAATCAAAGATTCTTGACAAGAAAAAGTATAAAAATAACGTGTGTAATAAGAAACAGTAAGAAATAATCACTATTATCTTTAGCCCCACGGTCGGCGCCAAACTGTTTACCTCGAAAAATACGAGTAACAATTAAATTTGATTTGTGGTTTTAAAGATACGTGATTTAATTCAATAACGAATCCAGAAGTATGAAGTAAAAATGAAAGAGAAAAATGAATCAAGCCAATGTTATTCAATAGCAGTGACCTCGAGGTAGGCTTGGTACAATAAGAACAGGTAGAGAGTATATTCTTTTCTCAGTAAAAGATGATGTTACAAATGATTAAGGTTATAGGAATATTTCTATTTACAGTAGGGAATATTCTTGTTACAGCTTTCTAACCGCCTAGTACGGAATTGTACGATCTTATTCCGAGATTTGCGCCATGATCTTAGGAATGTGGCAGGAATCTTGATCGCTCTGGCACAAATCCATAACAGTACTATTTCAGGGTCGAGCACACTTGGCCTCGGTATTCCTCGGCCTTCGGGCATTATACTCTGTCTTCGAGCTCGAGTCTGGTCCACCGATATCGAACTTGACCATTCCTAGACTCGGGCCTAGGGCGAAATCTCGAGCTTCTACATCTGTGGCATATGATTTTGACCGTATACACTACTCATACCCAGAGTAGATGTCCCATGGTTAATAGACCCCTGGAGTTCTACCTGTTGGGTTGGTTTGACCTATTGTTGCTACACAGTCCGAATATAGGCCCGCAATGTCATCGTAGGAGCTCAAGAGGTTGGATAGGTTCACCAAGTTGTTTCCCCCTCACTTTAGTGGTGCACCTTCATAGGATCCTCGGGACTTCTTTGATAATTGCAATGAGATTTTGGGCAACTTGGGACTAGTGGAGTTAATTTCACCGTCTTTTATATGCATGGTTCCTCCAAGAGGTGGTGGCAGGTTTATCAGATGGGCAGACCAACGGGATCACCTCATCTCAAATGGGCTCATTTTTCGCAGTTGTTTCTCGGCGAAGTTTATTCCCTTCACTTAGAGAGAGGAATTGCATAGCCAGTTCTAGCGCCTTCAGCAAGGTAGCATGATCGTTACTCAGTATGAGACTAGATTTGTTGATGTGTTACGCAATGCAGCTATCTTGATCCCTACTGGGAGGGAGAATGTGTAAAGGTTCATAGAGGGTCTTACATATGGCATCAAACTTTATATGGACAGATAGGCCTAGACTGAGATTTCTTTTACTCAGATAGTAGAGATTGCTAGGAGGATTGAGCACATTAGAGGCCAGGCAAGAGAGACAACCTCTGACAAGAGGCCCTATCATTTTGGATGATTCAGTGGTGCCTCATCTGGAGATAGGGGTTCATTTGGTAGAGGCCATCCTATCAGGCCGGTACAGTCAGCTCCGCAGGTCATACATGGTACTTTAGGTAGCCACAGTGCTTATGGACCTCTTTCCAAGCAACTATCATACAGCGCACCTCCATCTCCCGTTAGTGCACCTTCGATACAGAGTTACCATCCAGCTAGAGGTGGAGGTTAATCAGTGAGAGGTCGTCCTAAAGGTGGAGTACAAGTTGGTTTAGGGCTCAACCCCGTTGTTATGCATTTTCAGGTAAACTGGAGGCGGAGTCATCTGATGTAGTTATTACAGGTATCATCTTAGTCGGTCATAGAGATGCTTCTGTACTGTTTGATCTTGGTTCTACATATTCTTATGTGTCTTCATATTTGGCTTGGCATTTGAGTATGCCTCGTAATTCTCTTGATGTTTTTGTTTCGTTGTTTACACAGCTTGGAGATTCTATAGTAGTTGATCGGGTGTACTGGTCTTACATTGTTACTATTAATGATTTTGATACCATAGTGGATCTTTTGTTGCTGAATATGGTGGATTTTGATGTCATTCTTGGTATGAATTAGTTGTCCCTGTATCACGCTATCTTAGATTTTCATGCTAAGAGTGTGACGTTGGCTATGCCATGGTTGCCTAGGTTAGAGTGGAAAGGGACCCTCGCTCACTCTACTAGCAGGGTGGTTTCGTATTTGAAGACTCGGCGTATAGTCGAGAAGGAGTGTCTAGCGTATTTGACTTATATTCGGGATTCTAGTGCGGAGGTTCCTCCTATAGATCCGGTACCGGTAGTGAGGGAGTTTCCAAAGGTGTTTTCTACATATTTGTCGGGTATGCCATTTGACAAAAATATTGACTTTTGCATTGATTTGATTTCGGGTGCTTAGCCAATTTTTATTCCACCGTACCATATGGCCCAGCTGAGTTGAAGGAGTTCCACACAAATTATCATGAATGAATGAATGATGCCCTCTACATAGATATTTATTACTATGTACCACCAATCAGTTGCAGAGTCACATAGTCTTGTAACAATCAGCTGTAATCAATGTTAGTTCGTTAGGCATCACATTATTTTTTTCAAAACATACACCATGTAAGAGTATCTTTTCACACTTTATATGTTTTTTTTTTTCAACTGAGACTTTGTTCTTAACCAACAAAAAATAATTGAAACAATATATTTGTTTGGATGATTCTCAAGTAATTGTGATGCCGCGTGTAGCTAGAGCCGAGTATATTGAAAAAAGTCTATTTAAAGGGGGTCTTAAGATATGTTGAAAACGTAGGGTTGGCGATGGCTTTTCAAGGGTCTTTCTTGCTAAGCCTATTTCTATTATTAGCCAACGTCTTGGTTTTAATAGAACTCTCATTAGCTGCGAATGTGCCAAGCCATGAAATTTCACTTCCATTCAACCGCACCATTTTCCCATCTGAATTCATATTTGGGGCTTCCTCTTCCACCTATCAGGTAGGATTTTGGACTTGGATTTTTGGTTTATGCTTAGTAATATTTGAGTACATTGTGTAGAAACCAACTGTTGGAAAATGTTGCTATAAAAAAAGCAGTATGAAGGAGCTTGGAATGAGGATGGTAAAGGCCCCAGTATATGTGATACATTTACGCACACGCATCCTGGTCTCTTTCTTTCCTTCAGTCTCTCCTTTCCTTTTTTTTTTTTAAATTTTCCGATGCCATTTACAATATAATCATCTCTTGTTCCTTGTCTTTTACCCCACGAGCAGCTAGTACATGTAGTTAGCAAGAGTCTAACTAACTAAACTGGGCTAAAGTGAATTAATATGCGGGGGAAGTGCACGGTTAGCCACTAATAATACATGTATTTACTTTTAAGCCACTGTTTAAAATATCTTTAGTCTTTAGCCACTGCTTTAATAAACTTTAACTGCCCGGACGAAAATACCCTTCTGCTCATGTCCTTAACTTTTGAACTTAAGTTCAGGACTTCAGGACTACATGTCCTTAACTTTTGAACTTGGAACTCTAAGTTCAGGACTTCAGGGTTACATGTCCTTAACTTTTGAACTTGGAACTCGAAGTTCGGGACCACCTGTCCTTAAGTTCCGTGCATGTAACTCTAAGTTAAGGACTACTTGTCCTTAACTTTTGAACTTGTAAGTCTAAGTTCAGGACCTATTATCCTTAACTTTTGAGCTTAGTAGTCTAAGTTCAGGACCAAGTGTCCTTAACTTTTGAACTTGTAACTGTAAGTTCAGGACCAAGTGTCCTTAACTTTTGAGCTTGTTAGTCTAAGTTCAGGACCTATTGTCCTTAACTTTTGGGCTTCTTAGCCTAAGTTCAGGATCTATTGTCCTTAACTTTTCAGCATGTTAGTCTAAGTTCAGGACTTCAGGACCTATTGTCCTTAACTTTTGAACTTGTAACTGTAAGTTCAGGACCTATTGTCCTCAACTTTTGAGCTTGTTTGTCTAAGTTCAGGACCAAGTGTCCTTAACTTTTGAAATTGGAACTCGAAGAAAGCTTTATGAAATCAGAACCACCCCCCTCCATTAACTCTTAGTATCTTTTTCTTTCTCTGAGTTTCTTATAACTCTCTTGTCTTAATTTTGTTCCTTTCGTTTTTGCCTATGAAACCACACAATAACACACACAGACACACACGCACTCTGTGTAATTATCTTTTGTTTTCCCTATCTTTTTGGGGCTAAAGAGGCAATGAGTGATCTCCCGAGTTTTATGCTTACTGAAATCGGGCTTTTTACAGGAAATCCTTAATGGAATACATAGTTGCAAAAAATATACAGGAAGAAGACGATAAAAAAAAAAGAAAGAAAATGGAGGTTGGGAATGGAAGAAGAATATGTAGAGAGAATAGCCCAGAAAGAATATGCAGAGAGAATAGTCCAGAAAGAGAATCTGAAAATGGCGTATCTATCCAACCTGTGATACCACTGTATTTCCGTTTGGGAAGGAAAGGGTAACAACGTCCTTTCATATTAATTTTAATAAATTAGTGGCTACTTTTGCTCAGCAATTAAAATACTGGATAAAAAATAAATATCACTTTAAATAGTGGCTACCCCATACAATTTTTACTTAATATTCTTGGAAACTTTTGTTGTGCTTAGAAAAAAATTTCCTGCAAAAGTAGACTCAATGAAATGATCAAGTTCAGTTTTTGTCGAACACAATTTCTTCCGGTACTGAACAAACAAATCAAATTGGATAAGGAACCACTTTAGTCGTAATTTTGCATAGTGCAAATTGGTTTGGTTTTGAAAAAAACCAAACCAAACCAACATCTATTTTTTCGGGTTTTTGTTTATATGAATATTATTTTTAATTTTATTTTTGTTAAAGTTATAAATAAAGTGTTGACAAGTGACTACATATTTTGTAAAAATAAAAAATAAAAACTAACAAACATATGATATTAAATATTCTTATGCGATCTTTTCAGTAACACATGATAGTTATTTTCTTGGTCTTCGAAAAATAATTTTTTGTTGATATACGTTTTCGAGGTTAATCGAATTTAATAATTAAATATAAAAATTAATATAAACCCTAAAAGATGATATGTTCTACAAATTTTAAAATTATCGAAAAACCATTTCAAATTGAAAAAAGATATAAGAGTTTAATAGATCTTGACATATATATGAATATGAAACAACAAAAAGATTGACGCATTTAATAACATTGATAAGAAAATGATGATACAAATCCGTTATTTAAAGTAAAAAAAAAAATAGATACACTTTATTGTTCTATTATATATACATTCCATGGGAGGATCACAAATATTTTTAGATTTCTTTTGAAGAAAATTCTATATAAATTCTTCAATGTATATATAAAATTTTATATTCGAATTTCTTTTACTTAATATCAAACTAATCAAACCAAACCTAAAACCAAACCTAATTAAATTTTAAATCGGTTTGGTTTGACTTTTTAATTTAGTGCAATTTTTCTATTGGATTTGAACACATGGAACTTCCTCTTGCCCATGGATAGGGGTGTTCATGGTTCGGTTTGGATTGGTTTTTCCCTAAAAAGAAACCAAACCAAGTAAGTCGGTTTTTCAAATATTAGAACCAAACCAAACCAATTAAGTCGGTTTTTTCTTGATTCGGTTTATGTCGGGTTTTGTCGGGCTTTCAATTTTTTCGGTTATTTGTCGGTTTTTTCTTAAATATAAGACATATACTACCAAACACATATTCCAAGGCGACCGCATTTTCAACGTCACACTATCAAATCAATTGCCCTTTGAGAAATCTATTATTTATTAAAATATATTGATAATAATTGAATCAAATAGTGATGAATAATTAAGGACTCAATCAAAAATATTTTTTTTAAACATGAAATGGATTCTTACACTTAACAAAAGAAAACTACCAATCAAACTAGAATATAAAGGTAAAAAACTGTACTAAAAGTGCAAACGATATGCATAAAAATTTTTGAAACTTGGTATAACAATATGCATATATATAGGTGTAATGATAAATTTGAAATAGCTACTGCTATAGTTAGTTTGGTTCCGATTTTTTCGGTTATTTTTTGATTAAAACCAAAATCAAACCAAATTTGATCGGTTTTTAAAATTCAAAACCAAAACCAAACCAAATCAAAAAGTATCGATTTTTTTGGTCGGTTTAATTTGGCTTTCGGTTTGGTTTGATTTTTCGAGTATGTACGAACACCCTACCCATGGATTTACTCATATATGTAAATGGACGTCCTTTTTTGCAATCAATTAATCAACAGTCACTGAAGTCTTATCTCCGTTCCACCCAACATATTTCTGTAAGAACGGACAATGAAAATAAGTTTATGTCAGATTTTTTCCATTTATACAGTAAATAAGGCAGCTATTGGGGCATACTTGTCTTGCACAAAGACACAGCATGGGAGGCCCCATACATAATAGCTTGTTTGGTCAAGTTTTTTTTGGGCCAAAAATGCTTTTTTTGGTCGAAAGCACTTTTGGCCAAAATTTGAGGTGTTTGGCCAAGCTTTTGGAAGGAAAAAAAGTGCTTTTGAGGAGAAGCAGAAGCAGTTTTGGAGAAGCAGAAAAAAGTAGCTTCTCTCCAAAAGCACTTTTCTAAAAAGCACTTTTGAGAAAAATACACTTAAAAGCAGTTTTCAAAAGCTTGGTCAAACACTAATTACTGCTCAAAAGTGCTTTTCTAATTAATTGGCCAAACACAAACTAATTCTCACCAAAAGCACTTTTTTTAAAAGTTCTTTTGAGAAAAGTAGTTCTCAAAATAAGCTGATTTTAGAAGTTTGGCCAAACGGGCTAATAGACTGATCACTGGCAAAACTAGCAAAGTAGAGTGTCATGCTCAATTGTCCACAGTAGTATGTTTCAGTCTAGCCCACTCGGACGTAAATGTTTTTAATTGAAAGGACACGATTGAGATCTGTATTTCAATTACTCAATCTTCTTCATATCTTGCTAGCGTCTCCAGCATCTTTTATACATTGTAAATGTGTGACTGTGCAGTGTGCAGCATAACCACTAATTTATATCGGGATCTTGAACATGATTATCTTACACAAAAATCGTTACAGAAAACATACCCGAAGTGAAATCCATTATCGTGAAGCGGAAGCGTTAATCGGTAAATTGATTTCTCGCCCATTGCCCTAACTTTACGTTACCGCCGCCTTTCGTGATGGAAGAAAGAAATAAAATACGGTAACCCTAATGGGTGGGGAGATGACCAATTTATAGAAGTTCTCACTTAATCTGGTACGTCCATCAAGTAATCAATCGGACGGATGAGATTTGATAATTAATTAAATATCAATTATGGGCCTTAAACCTATTGGGCCATATACACGTAAGAAAATAACTTACATTCTCCCACTTGGCCCAATAATCACATAATATTAATATTTAATATAGGAACATTAGTTGCGCATAAACAAATCTCTTCTATAATGTCCATCATAAATACCATAATACGATAAACTACTAAATGTGAGTTATGGCGGTTATATATAATTTGTCTACATACTCCCTTCCATATACTACAACATTAACAACTAATCGTACCAGGTCCATAAGCTATAAAATATTATGGTCCACAATAATGTCACATTGAGACTTATCCTGTAATATCTCAAAACAATAGTGTGCACACCATTATGAGAAACAGGAAACCATTAATGTATATCAGAAACACATAAATGAGCTCAGAGTGTCAAAACATCATAAATACATCAATCATAAATACAGCTAAGACCCATTCTATGTACATGTTCTTTAAATATCTTTGGTTGTAAACCTTTCGTTAACGGATCTGCAATCATGAAATCAGTTCTAATATGCTAAAGTGACACTCTTTGTTTCTGAACTTCCTCCTTGACGGTAAAGTACTTTAATTCCATATGTTTGGAACCTTTGGAGTAGCAATATTCTTGGAGAAGAATATTGCTGCAGAATTATCACAGTAAATTTTCAGCGGCTTGGTAATGGTATCGACAACCCCAAGTCCTAAAATAAAGTTTCGCAACCATGATGCATGAATTGTGGCTTCAAAATATGCCACAAATTCCGCTTCCATCGTGGATATAGCAATGATAGACTGTTTGGCACTTTTTCACGATATTGCTCCTTCAGCTAATTGGAACAAATAACCAAACGTGGATTTTCTAGTGTCAATACATCCTGCAAAATCTGAATCCGAGTATCCAACAACTTCCAAATGCTTGGATCTCCTATACATGAGCATGTAATCCTTCGTTCCTTCCAGGTACCTCAAAACTTTCTTTGCAGCTTTCCAGTGATCAATTCCCAGGTTACTCTGATATCTTCCTAGCGTTCCGACCGCAAAACTAATATCCGGTCTTGTGCAGGTCTGAGCATACATCAGACTACCAACAATTGAAGAGTAAGGAATTGATTCTGTTTCCTTTCGTTCTACATCATTCTTAGGGCATTGCATGAGACTAAATTTGTCCCCTTTTCGAATTGGAACAATTCCTGCTGAACAATTGTTCATATTAAATCTCTCTAAAATTCTTTCGGTATAGCCTTTTTGAGACAATTCCTTGTGATCTATCACAGAATATTTATATTCCTATCACATAGGATGCCTCACCCATATCTTTCATTTCAAAATTCTTAGAGAGAAAATCTTTGTCTCACGCAATATGCCTAAATCATTAGCAGCAAGTAGAATATCATCAACATATAGGACTAAAAATATAAACTTGCTCCCACTGATCTTTTGGCATATACACCGATCAATGGTATTTTCCACAAATCCAAAAGATGTTTTATGGTATCATTAAACTTTATATACCATTATCGTGAGGCTTGTTTAAGTCCATATATTGACTTCTTCAGTTTACACACCATTTGACCTTTTCCTTTGGTTTCGAAACCCTCTGGTTGGTCCATATAAACTTCCTCCTCGAGATCTCCATTAATAAAGACAGTTTTCACATCCATTTGGTGTAACTCTAAATCATAATGAGCCACCAAAGCCATAATAATTCTTAACGAGTCTTTTTTTGAATCCGGTGAAAAGGTCTCTTTATAATCAATGCCTCCTTTCTGAGTATAACCCTTGGCAACAAGTCTGGCTTTGTATCGTTCAATATTTCCATTTGAATCGCGTTTGGTCTTAAAGACCCACCTACACCCGGTTCTTTTAGAACTTTCTAGCAATTCAACACCCAGACTTTATTGTATTCCATGGATTTTAACTCTTCCTTCATGGCATCAATACATTTGTCAGACTCATTACTTTCTATGGCTTGTGAAAATGAAACCAGATCCTTATTAAGACCAATGTCAAAATATGACTCTTGCAAATAAACCACGTAATCATCCAAAATAGCCGATTTTCTAACTCTTTGAGATTTTCTTAATGGCATTTCTTGTGGTTCATTTGTGTCAGATATTTGTGAGTTAGTTTCTTCATGAAGTGTCTTATCCAAATTTTGCTCGGTGTTGTCAAAGTGTTCTTCAACAACTGGAATAATATTTGGTATTTTGTGGAAGTAGATACATTCCTGGGTAATAGAATATTGACCCTCACCTCTTTAATTTCCATACTTTGCTTTTCAACACTCCCACTAACTTCACCATTCTTAATAAATCTTGCATTATCGGTTTCAACAATTCTCGAACTATAGTTTGGACAGTGAAACACATACCCTTTAGATTTCTCTGGGTAACCAATAAAGTAACCACTTACTGTTCGAGAATCTAATTTCTTTTCTTGTGGATTATAAACTCTAGCTTCCGCTGGGTAGCCCCAAACTTGCAGGTGCCTTAAACTAGGTCTCCTTCCTATCCACAGTTCAAAAGGGGTCTTTGGAACCGCCTTACTAGGAACCATGTTTAATAAATATACAGCGGCTTAAGAGCATACATCCACAATGATTTGGGTAATGAGGAATTACTTATCATGCTCCTAACCATATCAATAAGTGTTCGATTATGCCTTTCTGCAACACCATTTTGTTGAGGTGTTCCTGGCATAGTATACCGTGCACATATGCCACGTTCCTCGAGGAACTTTACAAATGGACCTTGATATTGTCCTGATTCATTATATTTTCCATAATATTCACCACCTCTATCTGACCTAATGATTTTACCTTTTTATCTAATTGCCTTTCAACCTCATTAACAAACACTTTGAGAGCATCTGTTGCTTGAGAGTTTTCTTTCAGCAAATAGATGTATCCATAACGTGAAAATTCATCGATAAAAGTGATAAAATATTTCTCTCCACCAAAAGATGGAACATCAAAGGGTCCACAAATATCGGTGTGTATAATTTCAAGAAGCTGGGTGCTTCTTGTGGCACCTTTCTTACTATGTTTGGTTTGCTTTCCCTTAATGCAATCCAAACGTATAGTAAGATCAGTAAAATTTAGATTCGGAACAATCTCATTCTTTACTAATCTTTGTAACCTTTCTTTGGATATATGACCCAAACGTCTATGCCACAAGTAAGCAAAACTTTCATCTAGTGAACTACATTTAATTCCAACATTATGTTGAATAGTAAGAAGGGATTCAGAAAAACCAATATCGAGTTTCAACTTATATAAACCATCATTAAGAAAACCAGAACCATAAAAAATAGCATTCTTATATAAATTAAAACATCCATTTCCAAACTTTAAATCAAATCCAGAGACATCAAGTCTTGAAAGAGAAATCAAATTTCTAGAAACTGAAGGTACATAAAGAGTCTGTAGTAGATCAAGGTGACGCCCAGTTTCTTTGATCAAACGATAAGTCCCTATGCCTTCAATTGGAGCCTCATACGATTTCCCATGAAAAAGAAATCCTTATTTGGATTTGTAGTTTGGATCGTAAGGAATCCCTTTCTTTTCGAACCAAGCTTTACATTTCAAGCAATCTTTCTGATAGTGTTCTTCCTTGTTACAGAAACGACACGTATCTGCCTTATGTTCCTTCTAGCATCCTGTGGAGCTTTAGCATGTCATTTCTTCTTCTTGAACTTGTTGGCCTTCACTTTAAGTCCTTTACCAGCTCCTTGACCCATGAGGTTAATTGAATGACTCCGTTGTTTCTTAAGTCTTGACTCCTCCTGAGTAAGCATACTGGACAATTCACTAACATTCCACTTATCCTTAATAGTGTTATAGTTAATTTGAAAAGGTCCATACTCAGGAGGTAACGAGTTCAGAATAAACTGAATCAAGAAGGGGTCATCCACCTTCATCCCCAAGGTCTAAAGTCTTGTTGCAATATTAGTCATCTCGATGATATGGTTTTGCATACTACGCGACCTATCAAACTTCATGGTCATGAGTTCATCCATTAGTGTACCAGCGAGAGACTTATCTGCAGAACGAAAACGTTCTTCCACAAACTTCAGGCATTCCCTGGCACTCTCTGTTTGTGGAATAGTACTCTTAATATTGTTGGCAATATTCATTCGCATAAACATAAGGCTTAGCATGTTATAGCATTCCCATGCTTTATGGAAAGACTTCTCATCCGCACTGCTCGAATCAGTAATGGCAGCGGGCTTATCATTCAGCAAAGCCAAGTCAAGATCCATCACACCTAAGTGGAACTGGACTTGTTCGAGCCATTTAGAGAAGTTCAATCCGTTGAACACAGTAACAGACGAAGCATGCGAATGAAAAGGAATAGCTGCAAAATAGATAATACATGCTCACAAATCGATATGGATTCAACAAAACTGTTAAAGCATATCGCAATTCTCCTTTGGGTAAATACTACGACACACTATCATAATTTAAATGCCATTTAGTCTTTAATAGGTAATTAAATATTTTTAACCAAATATATATACCATCTTTGGACAGATAATATATATTTGACTTAGAATATTAATTTACCTCATCATCTTCACTATTCATAGAATAATAGATTCACCTTTGGGTAAATCCTTAAGTTCTAGCAATAGTGAAAATTAATTTATCCACTAATTTTTAATTATAGGCATTTCATTAATTTCATGGATAATTATAATTTTATGTATGCATATTTTCATAAACAAACTAGTTTGACCACTTTGGTGACTAACAATCAACTCTATTCAATGTACCACCAATCAGTGGCATTGTCTTGTAACAATCAGCTCTAATCAATGTTAGTTCGTTAGGCATCACATTATTTTTTTCAAAACATACACCATGTAAGACTATCTTTTCACACTTTATATGTTTTTTTCTTCAACTGAGACTTTGTTCTTAACCAACAAAAAATAATTGAAACAATAAATTTGTTTGGATGATTCTCAAGTAATAGTGATGCCACGTGTAGCTAGAGCTGAGTATATTGAAAACAGTCTATTTAAAGGGGGTCTTAAGATATGTTGAAAACGCAGGGTTGGCAATGGCTTTTCAAGGGTCTTTCTTGCTAAGCCTATTTCTATTATTAGCCAACATCTTGGTTTTAATAGAACTCTCATTAGCTGGGAATGTGCCAAGCCATGAAATTTCACTTCCATTCAACCGCACCATTTTCCCATCTGAATTCATATTTGGGGCTTCCTCTTCCACCTATCAGGTAGGATTTTGGACTTGGATTTTTGGTTTATGCTTAGTAATATTTGAGTACATTGTGTAGAAACCAACTGTTGGAAAATGTTGCTAATGACAGTATGAAGGAGCTTGGAATGAGGATGGTAAAGGCCCCAGTATATGTGATACATTTACGCACACGCATCCTGGTCTCTTTCTTTCCTTCAGTCTCTCCTTTTCTTTTTTTTCTTTTTTTCCGATGCCATTTACAATATAATCATCTCTTGTTCCTCGTCTTTTAACCCATGAGCAGCTAGTACATGTAGTTAGCAAGAGTCTAACTAACTAAACTGGGCTAAAGTGAATTAATATGCTTGGAAACTTTTGTTGTGCTTAGAAAATTTTTTCCTGCAAAAGGAGACTCAATGCAATTATGAAGTTCAGTTTTTGTCGAACACAATTTCTTCCGTGACTGAACAGACAAATCAAATTGGATAAGGAACCACTTTAGTCATAATTTTGCATAGTGCAAATTGGTTTGCTTTTTTTTCAAAACCAAACCAAACCAACATCGGTTTGGATTAGTTCATTTTTATTTGTTTCTTTCGAGTTTTTTGGATTTTTTGTTATAGGAATATTATTTTAATTTTACTTTGTTAAAGTTATAGATAAAGTGTTGATAAGTGACTATATATTTCGTAAAAATTTAAAAAAACTGGCAAACATATGATCTATTAAATATTCTTATGAAATTTTTTTAGTAACACGTGATTGTTATTTTCTTGGTCTTCGAACAATAATATTTTATTGATACACACTTTGAAGGTTAATCGAATTTAATAATTAAACATAAAAATCAATATAACCTAAAAGATGATATGTTCTATAAATTTTAAAATTATCGAAAAATCATTTCAAATTTGAAAAAGATATAAGAGTTTTATAGATCTTAACATATGAATATGAAACAACAGAAAGATTGATGCATTTCAATAACATTTGATAAGAAAGTGATGATACAACCCATTATTTGAAGTAAAAAAAAATAGATACACTTTATAGTTCTATTACTAGATGATGTTGCCGTGCGAAGCACGGCCCAACTGTTGCTCTTTTTCCTTGTTTTTTTTTCTTTTAATATTTTTGATCTATCGCTAATAATACACTTGGTCGTCTTTAGGAAAAGAAGAAAGAAAATAGGCTTTTGTGTAATAACGTATAGAACCACGGTTACTTGTATTGTTATTTATCTTTTTTAATTTTTCTAAAAAGTGTATTATTGTACTAATCACTTTGTAATGTCGAAGTTTGACACTTTATTATACAAATATTATATAATACTTCAAGTACAATTAGAGTATTTCTACGTAGGTTCCACACTTTTAATTTTTAAAAAAGTTCTGCACAACCCAACTTAAAATTGATTATAAAAAATAATTAAAAAGTCAGTGGAAAAATAAGTCGTAATGTACATTCACATTGATTAAATTGAATAATATATAGTTTTACTCTTTTAGTATTTTCGATCGTGTTAATGTATTACTTTTTCTTTTTTATATTAAAGAAAATTTGAATAATAATACCAATTAATTTTATTCCCAAATAGTTGATGATAAGGTTTTTTTTTTTGGGTTCTTTGAAATAATAATCATAATTTTTTATTGTTAAGAATTTTTTAACAAGAACATTTGCATTTTATTCTAGTTTAATGACATAAATTAATAATTTATTAAAAATAAATTATTTTATCGATCGCTTTAAATACTAATCAAATTGACCTTAAACTGAAGTATTACATGTTTTTTTTTGTTTTCATTTGATATGATTGAGATATTATTAGGGGGGTAATAGAACTTTCTNTTAAAATTTATATAATGTTGAATTCTTTATTGAACACAGAGGAAGTATCCAACTAACTTTGATCATAATGGGAGAAGTATAATCCTGCATAATGATACTTATTATGCTACCTAATATATAATTATTTTTAAGAGAAAAAGTTTTTCCAATTTAATTGTCTTAATTTTTGGTTTAGATGATTCTCAAAATCATGTTTTAGAGAGGGATCCTTTTTATTCAATTTGAATAAATATCAAATTCTATAGGAAAAAGGGACTTGAAAATATATTTTATTCTTAAATATTCTTTCCTAATTTTATAAAGTATTCCAATTGGAATTTAAATTTAATGAGAATAATAATATAAGAACATCTGATCTACATAAATTACATAAATAATTCTACATAAATTACATAAATAATATAGCAATAGCACGGAAGATTTCACCACTTAATGGTTGAAACTTGAAAGGGGTTGAATTTGTTTGGTCCAAACAATATATGTTTTTTTTTTAAAACTTAATAATTTTATTTATGTCATAAAGATTTAAAAACAGTTAGAATAATGTTAACACACTTGTTGAATCCAAGCCTTTTAATTTTAGCACACACGTGGCAGGTAAAGTACGAGCATCAGAGACCTGTTGCGCAACAATGATNGAAAATATATTTTATTCTTAAATATTCTTTCCTAATTTTATAAAGTATTTCAATTGAAATTGAAATTTAATGAGAATAATAATATAAGAACATCTGAATATAAATCTACATAAATTACTGCCACTTTTTTTTTTTTTAATTTCTTAAAAAAATCTTCTTCACCTAAAATAGTCAATAAATAAAACAAAGGAAATAATGATTCTTAAGGAGATAATAGAATTGTTATATATAAATGTATGTTATTATAGTATATCAAATGAATGTTTGAATTATAAATTACCAAATAGATATATTTTTCTAGTTAAATACACTTATTGAATTTTTTTAAGGTGAGAAGTAGTTTGCTTTCAAACAAATTGTAGAGTAACAATAATCTAGCAGGGGATAGGATACGGTCCAGTAATGTAGTGTCCAGTACTTTCCAATATTGTACTGCAATTGTAGAGTATCAGTAAATGAATAATGTTTAGGAATAGTAAAAAGAAAAGAAAAACGGGAAGACCTTGAACATATTTTGGCCTTGGGCAACGGCAGTTGCTTTGCAAAGCTGAGGGGTAGCAATAGCACGGAAGATTTCACCACTTAATAGTTAGAAACTTGAAAGGGGTGAATTTGTTTGGTCCAAACAATATCTTGTTTTCTTTAAATTAAATAAATTTTATTTATGCATAAAGAATTTAAAAACTGTTAATACACTTGTTGAATCCAAGCCTTTAAATTCTTAGCACACACGTGGCATGTATCAATTACACTATTAGAAAGTACTGGACACTACATGATTGGACAGGATCCCATCCCATCAAGTAGTGCAAGAAAATAGTGCTGGTTGAATAGAAAGTGGGGTCCATATGAAGAATTCAATAGCTTAGGTCACGTTACTTTATTCTTTTCAGTCGTTAACAACCCACAATCAAGCTCTTTAGCCTATTGTACAAGCAAAGGGTGCAGTTAAATTTTTGAAATAACTATGCTGCCCTTGGTCGACCTCCTCTTCTCACTTCTATATAATAGAAATATAATAGAAATATATTCATTCCACGAGAGCATTACAAATATATATTTCTAGATTTCTTTTGAAGAAAAGTCTATACAAATTCTCCAATGTATATATAAGATTATATATTTATGTCACCGAAGTCCTATCTCGGTCCCAGCCAACAAATTTCTGTATGAACAGTCAATGAAAATTAATTTATGTCAAATTTTTTCCATTTATACAGTAAATAAGGCAGCTATCAGGGCATACGTGCATGTCTTGCACAAAGACACAGCATGGGAGGCCCCATACATAGACTGATCACTGGCAAAACTAGCAAAATAGAGTGTCCACAGTAGTACGTTTCAGTCTAGCCCACTTCGGACGTAAATGTTTTTAATTGAACGGATACAAATTGAGATCTGTATTTCAATTACTCAATCTTCTTCATATCTTGCTAGCGTCTCCACCATCTTTTATTCTTTGAAAATGTGTGACTGTGCAGTGTGCACTCCAATGCTTAATTTACAACACTCAAATGCCAACAATTATTAGGAAGAACTCCTTTTTTTGTCCGTTCAAAAGTATGCAACAATGGTTTATTTCTCTTATTCTTTCGCTCTAAATCTATGAAATATTTACTATTTATGGACCATGCATAAATATTTAAGTTTAAACTAGAGATATTATGAAATCTATGCAGAAAAAATATTGGATCACAGCAATGGAGATGTAGCTCTTGACTTTTATCATCGTTACAAGGTATGAAATTTCCAATGCTTACTATCGATCGGATGAGGAGAAATGAAGAGATATAGTCGTCCATTTTATCAAAAATATAAAAAAAGGAAGAAGAATAACTCTAGTACTGTTATCAAAGCTAATGCTTCTCCCTTGCAGGATGACCTTAAACTAGCAAAATTTGAAGGACTGGATGCCTTTAGGTTTTCTATCTCCTGGACAAGAATTCTACCACGTAAGAAGATTTGATTTACTTATTTCACTAATTAACGCATTTTATTCACCTTCAAGAGGAGTTGTTCAGATGGTCAGCACCTTCATCTACAATCCTACGTTTGTGGGTTGGAGTAATAGCTCCAACAAAGAGGTATCAAAAAGGAGGAAAATTTAAAAAAAAAACAAAAAACAAATCACCTTTGATGTGTCTAAAACCTTTCATTAGCAAAAAAGAACTTACAAAAATATTTCTTTTCTTAGTCCAAATATTTAAGGTTAATTTCACATAAGGTAATAAAACTCCATCCATTATAATGTTAAAGTAACTAAATTATTTTTTATCATATTAAAGCAATTGAACTTACTTAATATAATAGTAAAATCATTAAACTTTACCCGTTATAATAGAAAAATGACAACAAAAAAAAAAAATCACATAAAGTAAGTTAACTTTTCCTAAATAACTGTAAAATCATTAAATTTTATCCACTATAATACAAAGCCTAACCTTAAAAATGACTTACAGTTATAGACTTATAGTGGGTAAAGTTTTGTGATTTTATTGTTATAAAGAGTAAAGTTTAGTTTTAATTTAGTAACTTTACTGTTATATATAGTGGATAACGTTTAGTTATTCTAATGTGACAAAAAATACTTTAGTGATCTTATTATGACAGTAAGCAAAATTCAATGACGTTTAGTTATTCGGATATCAAATTGCTGCAAGCAAAAGCAAGGACGGATCTACTATATGGTAGGGGTAGCAGGCCACCCGCACCGTTGGTAAAAATGCTCAAGTATATTGATATCCATGAAATAAAGATAATATATATATATATAGGTATAGGTACCCATATTACACAACTGGTGCGTAGGTCCCATGGTTCAACTGCGGCAGTGTTTCAGATTCTTTTATTTTTCCCCCTACTTATTAGTCCTTATCTCCTTTATTCTCCGTTGGACCTTGGGCCCTCTTATCTTCTTTTTTAAAGTTCTTTATACACTGGTCTTCATTTTGCTTTCTACTATTAGAAATTCAAAAATAGCCAGATTTATAAGTGGTCGTTTAAAAATAGCCCAATTTCAAAAGTAATCGAAATCTAGCCACTTTTCATGTAAAGATAAATTTAAGCGAAAACACTGTTCAAAACCCGAAAAATACGCTAGTATATTATGCTGGAGTTCCAGTATAAGTATACTAGGATAAGTATGCTGGAACTCCATCATAATATGATGGAGTTCCAGCATAAATACACTAGAACTCCAACATAATATACTGGAGTTCCAGCAAAGTATACAGGTCCATTATAATATGCTGGAAGTTCATACACAGGTACTCGAATCTCCAGTATATTATGCTGGAACTTTCCGTGTGTTGGAGTTCCAGCATAATACGCTGGAAGTTCATACACAAGTGCACCGAACTCCAGTATATTATGCTCGACCGGTCTCTGTTGCAGCAAAATAGTGGCTATTTTTCATTGACTTGGTAAACGCTGGCTATTTTTGAATGACCAGTCCGAAAACTGGCTAGACCGTGCTATTTTTACTACATTATTTCATGAATAATCTATTTCGATGCATAATTTAAAAATGATTCTAGGTAATATGTATTTTCTTTCTTTTTAACGATGCAACATTAGTTTATATATTGGAGTATAATTTGAGCAATATCATTTATTGGAATTTTGACAGAAAAAATGTCTTGATTAATAGAGGTTTTGAGTTGATTTTCATAGATTGAAAATTTGAAACTTTTGGTTTAAAAATAATTGTATTATAACTCGACGATTAAATTGAAAAAATTAACCCAGAATAATATCAATTAATCATATCAAACAAAGAATATATAGTAATTAAGCTACTTTTAAAGAAAAGTTTCTAATTGGAGGAATATTTTAATGAATTATAATTATTATTTGTAATTTTACTCTAGAATATAATTAAATCAAACATAAAAAATTAAATTAAAACCGAACTTATTTACCTATTTGTGGATAAAAGGCGTAATTAAATTAACCAAACACTAACAGAATCGATCCGTTTTTCTTATTCGATTTTTGTGGCTAGTGATAAATATGCTACGTATATATAGTGGCATCCGCAACCTTCAAATCCTAAATATGCGTATGTAAAAGTGTCTCTGAGGTTATTCTACCTATTAATTACTGTCAAGTTAAATAAATCATTAAAAAAAGAGAATGACCTTAAGCGTCGGTGAGCGATGCTGTAAGTGGAGATTAACTCAAGGTTTAGACTTCTAACCTCTTTTTCCTCTATTATCATTATTCCAGGCTTGGAAATTATTATCTAATTGCAATATATTCTCTATTATCTTATGTCATTTTCAGTTCAATATTAAAATGGAATAGAGATTACAGTGTTGAATTTTATATAATTATCGGCGGTCATCTTATATGATTTACACCTATGGTCACTAATTTTGACTTCTCACTTTCAGATGGGAAGCTAAGTAAAGGAATAAATCAAGCTGGTATCGACCACTACAACAGTCTCATCAATGAGATTGTAGCCCTTGGTTCTCTGTCCTCTCTCTCTTCTCTCATACATATATACAAACAAAAAAATGTTAAGATTGAGCTAATAATTTGATTTACCATTTAGGTATCAAACCTTTGGCTACACTTTTCCATTGGGATGTGCCTCAAGCACTAGAAGACGACTACCTTGGTTTTCTCAGCCCTAAGATTGTGTAAGTTGCCCTATATAAATAAATTAATTCTTTTTTTCTTTAATCGGCTTATACTAATAAAATGATTTGATTTACGGTTTACAAAACATTGTTTTATATAAATAAAGCATTGCCTTGTATAAATAATTATTTTTCTTCCAAGGAAAATAGAGCATAAAATATTAAGATTGTAAATATTACAAGCCATATTATTATTACTGCGCAGGCGACGTTCTAGTATAATTTGACTCTTCAAAGTCTTGGTCAAAGACTCGAATTACATAAAGGGAGAGGGTATCCTAAAATTTAAAAATAAAGAATGCTATCAAAAAATCCAAGCTGTAGAAAAAAATAAATTATCTAGTGTGTATGTGTGCTACTTTATTGACCTCTAAGTAACTTATGGATTAATGACCTCCATTATAAATGATATGCGAGTATCGCTCGTTTCCAAATCTGGTATGTATCGTAAGTTCTAAGTCCAAATTAACACCAAATTAAATTTTAAAAAATACTTTCCTTAATAGAAATAATTAGTGATGAATATAATAATTAATGACTTGTATTGACAGGGAAGATTTCCTAGATTTCGTGGAGATTTGCTTTAAAAATTTTGGAGATAGGGTGAAGCTGTGGTCAACCGTGAACGAGCCATGGATATTTTCAGTGAATGGTTACGATAGTGGGACGTTGGCACCCGGCCGGTGTTCTGTTTGGAGGAACAATAACTGTTCTGCTGGAAATTCTGCCACCGAACCTTATATAGTTAGCCACAATATCCTTCTTGCTCATGCAGCTGCTGCTAAACTCTATAGGCAGAAATACAAGGTAATGAAGTTCCGTTATTTGTGGAAAACCAGCTGATTAGGCAATAATTAGGTGGTAATATTCCCGAACTACATCACCTATATAGTGAGGAGTTTTTGTTTCATGCATAGACGAAATAAAGAATTACACAATTAATTTACTTATAAGATAATTAGTATAAGTAAATTTTTATGATAAATATTAATTGATAATTTGATAAAAAATAATAATTGACCAGCTATCGTAAGTTAACCTGTATATATTGAGTACAAAAGATCGGTACACTATCAATATATATAACTTAAATCTAAATGCGAATTACTGTCTCTAATTACAATCTTTTTTTTACTTTCGGAACCCTATTTGAGTGAAATCGGACCTACATAAATTAGTCTTTTTTTTTAAAATATTACTATTACACACTTAGAGACTACATTTAATATTACGACTAGTAAAACTCTAATTTTAGTCTCATAATATGTTACATGGTACGAGTTTAATCTGAAATTAAAAGTATACTAGAGAAAATAACAGTTCTGTTGGAGTATAATAAGATGGTTATGGTAACCTGGTCCTTTTTTCCCCTTCAATTAACATAAAATATCTACTATAGTCAGATCTCTCTACAACAACATCGCTATATAATAGCAATTCACTATAAAAGTCAAGTTTTTTATGAAACTAATTTTTATATTATGTTATAATATATGTTTTCTATAACACTAGCCTGCTACAACAATAAAAAATATTCAAAACAAACGAAGCTGTTATAGAGAAGTTTTGAGTGTATATATTTCTAATGATCGATGATGATAATTGCACAGCCAACTCAAAAAGGGGAAATCGGAATTATTCTAGTGTCTCACTGGTTCGAGCCTTTCTCCAACAAACCGGAGGACATTAGAGCATCTAGACGAGCACTTGATTTTATGCTTGGATGGTAAGTCCAAATTTAAATATTGTTCAGATGATACAGAGTACTCCCTCTGTTTCCTTTTACTAGATCTATTGACTAGACATGTCCCTTAAAAAATTATTTATTATAAGAGTTTATTTTACTAAATTATCTTTGTTAATAATTATTAAAGTTGTAATTCCAATAAATTTGAGATGTGTAGGGTTTTAATACTAAAGATAATTAATATCAAAAAGAGAAAATAATAATTTTTTGTTTGTAATTTTATTTTTTAGTATATGAAACTAGTATAAGGGAGCTAAGAGTGTATTAAATGTCAATATTAATTTTTTTGCAAATGCTTAAACCTTTATTTGCAGGTTATTACACCCTTTGACTTATGGAGATTATCCCATAACCATGAAGGGACTTGTCGGAAAGCGCTTACCAAAATTTACCCCTAATGAATCTGAATTGGTAAAAGGGTCCTTTGATTTCCTTGGAATGAACTATTACACCTCAAATTTTGCAGCCCACACATCTAGTCCACTTAATACTGCCAATGTCAGCTTCACAACTGATAATCAAGTTAATCAGACGAGTAAGTTTTTAAGCTTACACATTAAATTGTAAAATTCTATGTTAATTACTTCATTTTAAGTTATTTGTTGTATTCTTTTTGACAATTGTATAGCGATAATCCTGTAATTTTATCAATTTATCCATTTCAACTCTGTTATTTATTTATTTAACTTCTTTTTTTTGTCTTTGTTTTTAGCTTCACGAAATGGACAACTTGTTGGTGATCCGGTATGTTTCTTAATCCAATAGATCTCTGTCTTAAACACTTTATT